TACTTGGCTATATGGTCCAAAATTTCTGCTGAAAGAAATGGATGCCTGGCCAATAGAAAAACAATCAAATTCAGAGCTGTTAGAAAATAAAGGAAATATACTGGAAGTTAGAAATGAATTTGTCCTATTGACTCACGTCACAGAAACTCTAGTCATTCCGGATCCACAAAGATTTTCTAAGTGGAACAGAATTCTGAGAACCACAGCGTGGATCGTACGGTTTATCGGAAACTGCAAAGGTAGCAAAACTAAAGGAGAACTGAATATTCAAGAAATCCAACGAGCTGAGAGACTGCTATACCGGAAAATTCAAAATGATTGTTTTCATGAGGAACTCATACAACTGGAACAAAATGGATCATTAGCTAAATCCAGTAGACTTTACAGTTTTTCATGTGAAATAGATAATGACAAATTGATTCGACTTGGAGGAAGACTGAATAACTCAAGGATCATTGACGAAGATGTTAAAAAACCTATCATCCTGGACTCTAAACACAAAATTTCAAGACTTATTATTCAATATTATCACGAAAAAGCATTTCACCAAGGTACTGAAACAGTAATCAATAATTTGAGACAACGTTTTTGGATATTACGCATCCGTCAAACCGTGAAGGGAATAATTAAATCATGTCAATTATGTAAAAATCGAAAAGTAGTACCAGCCACACCTATTATGGGTCAACTTCCATTATGTCGTATTGAGCCTACTATCAGATGTTTCGTCAAAACTGGAGTCGACTATTTTGGCCCAATCAAGGTTGCTGTTAAAAGAAGTACTGAAAAAAGGTATGGCGTAATATTTACTTGCATGGTGACAAGAGCCATTCATCTGGAGATTGCCCATGATTTATCCACAAACAGTTTTATACACGTTCTTCGACAATTTGGCTGCAGACGAGGATTTCCAGAGGAGATTTATAGTGACAATGGAAGCAATTTCAAATCTGCAGAAAGGGAACTATCCGACGCTCTCGAGGCACTGAACCAAGGAGAAATTTCAAAATTTTGCATTGTTCGAAATGTGAAATGGATATTCAATCCTCCACTGGCAGCACATATGGGAGGAGCTTGGGAAAGATTAATTCAGTCAATAAAGAAGATTATGAAAGAACTGTTAACATCTAGATGCCCTCAAGAGTACGTCCTCAGAACAGTATTTGCCGAGGCCGAGAATATAATAAACTCAAGACCACTTACTCACGTTTCTATCGACCCTAATGACTCTGAAGCTTTGACTCCAAACCACTTTCTTATTGGTCCATCTTACGCAGCATTACCTTGCACCCAGACTGAAGAAAGAGACCTGAATCTACTTGCGAAGTGGAGAGCATCCCAAAGAATCACCGATCACTTCTGGAGAAGATGGACGCAAGAATATATGCCATTTTTAGTGAAAAGAAGTAAATGGCACAAAGAAAGCAAACCAATAAAGGTAAACGATATAGTCATTATCGTAGACCCCAATGGACCAAGGAACACATGGCCAAAAGGACGGGTAACTGAAGTCTATCCTGCCAAAGACGGCAAGATAAGGATTGTAGATGTGACCTTAGCTAACGGAACCGTACTTCGTCGATCTGTGTCAAGACTGTGCATTCTGGATATACAGGATGAACAAAATTGAGTAATTGTCTCTATCTCAATACTCACCTTATGTTGAGCCAATTACTGAGGGGGAGAATGTTGTGAATTAGCTTAAAATGTATTCATTCTGTTTATTAATCTATATCACTTTGTATATAATGTATTATAAGATAGTTGTTTGTGAAACAAAAATGAAAAGTTGTCATAATAAAAAATAATTTGAAGACTGACAATAGATTTCAAAAAATTACGAAAAATATCAAAAAAAAGGTCATTCGAGCGGATCTAATACACTAATTCCAGGTAAATCACGAACACCTATTGTGATTGAACTCACCGTCGTTCCTAAATGATTGTATACCTCCAATTTGAAGCTGCTATAATGTGTGCTATAAATCATCTCAGATATTTCAACAGAGAATTTGGAAGGAAATAGTCTGTACGGAGTCGGACTGACTGACTGACTGACTGGCTGACTATGACTGACATGGCCATGCACAGCTCAACATGGCGCCTGGCGTGTGCGTTCGTTTTGCGCATGTCTGCGTCACACTCACAGGTCATAAAGATATCTCATGAGGATATCAATGTGAATTATTTAGTTACCGTCGAAGAGATGTAGTTTGAAGAAGTCGCTGCCACATTACAGTTTCCTGATTGCGATGTCACCTTGCGACGTTGATATCGAATCTACGTCGATGAGATGTGTAAACGAGATATTGCATTTATGCAAGGTTGTTACATCACAGATGTTGATGTCACACGATGGTTGGCTGGGAAGCTTTCATGGTGCCTAAATTCAGTATGGCTGGAGACTGAGAAAGTCCCAAATTTTCAAAATGATTCTAATTAGGGTTATTGAAAGTCTTGAAAACACGCCTGCATTAAAATTTGGAGTCAAATCGAATTTCTCTTGTTTCCTCAAAAATTAAGCTAGATACAAAAATTATACAGAAGATAAAAAAGTTGTTATTTCAATAGTTCAATCTAATAAAAATATGAAAGTCAGAAAAACCGGTGGCGTACAATGACATTCAGCATAAATATCCATAAATTTACCCACTGTGACGCCACTGGAAATATTATTCCGAATCTAATTGCACCAGAAGAAGACTCATAATACTACAAAACAAAATCACAATGTTTTATTGAAATTGATGAAACGACAACTGAGTAATGAATAAAAAAACGTTTTTTAGCTGTGTTTCTGAAATTCTTAACATTGAATATGTTAACTTTCTCATATTTTAGGATTTGTTTTTCATCTTCATGTTTTCCTGGAAATGACATCAACTTTCGATTTTCAAATGGAACACCCTGTATTTTATTCCATAATCGGTTAGGGATTATTATAACTAATTCAACGATACCGGGTTTGATTGGGTTATTCCGAACGATTACGAAGATATTCGCGTTCGAAGTTTCCATAAGCTCATTGTGTGTGACAGAGGAAGACGTTTCTTTTTCACATAACTTCTAAACGGCAGAACCGATTGGGTTGAAATTTCATTTGGGTATTTCGATGGTTTCTTGGATTATTTGAAAATACAATTGGACGCGGTAGGTAGCCCTGCTGCCGGTATAAGTCAATACAGTGACTGCATGACTTGACCGATTGGGTTGAAATTTTTTATACGTACGAAAAAATAACAAAAAATATGTACTGTAGATACGCGCATAGTTCAGTACGATTGTGGACAGCTGGTATGAGCATAAAATGATGTATCTGTGACTACCATGCATGTCATTTTCTGTATTTTTTTTCATTTTCAATACAAAACTGTCATTATTCCATATTTTTTGGGATTTCCTCTCCTCGTTTCTATAAAATATAAATATGAATATTATTTCAATATACGTGTAGTACCTACGGACAAATCACAATACAAATTGTCACTGACAAGCTGGTGAATTTTTCTTTTAGGCTCTCTGATAGGAAAATTCTTTAAACACAGTAACATTTTGGGGCAAATTATCTGTTTTGTCCTTATTACTACACGTATATTGAAATAATATTCAGATTTTTATTTTATAGATACAAGGAGCGAATGGACTGTTTCCCAAAAACAATAATTCATAATTCATTTATTCATCATCGTAAAAATCTGACACTGCGGTTAGATTGCACACTGGTGGTGGTAAGAAGGAACCTACATACAGAGAAGTGCACAAAAAACGGCCAGGACTGTAACTCTTGAATTATTCGGGATAGGGTTTTGAAAATTGGTGGGCAGCTAGTATACCAAATTGCCCATTAATTGACGAAACAATTTTTGTTCTATCACTTCCGGTTTTACTGGAAACGACCCCAGCTTTTTATTCTTAAATAGGACACCCTGTATTGTATTGCATAATCGGTTAGGGATTGTTACAACAAATTCATCGATACCGGGTTTGATAGGGTTATTTCAAACGATTACGCAGATATTCGCGTTCTAAGTTTCCATATGTTCAATGAGTGTGACAGAGAAAGAAGTTTTGATATTGCGAAGTATCAACCCGGTATCGTTGAATTTGTCATGATAATCCCTAACCGATTATGGAATATAATACAGGGTGTCCCATTTAAAAATCAAAAGTTGGGGTCGTTTCCGGTGAAACTGGAAGTGATGGAAGAAACATTGTTTCATCAAATAATGAGCGATATGATATACTTGCTATACCCACCAATTTTCAAAACCCTATCTAGAATAATTCAAAAGTTACAATCATGGCCGTTTTTTGTGCACTTCTTACCTATATTTTTCACTGAGAAATCAACACTGCCATATATATGATGAGATTTATTTTTGTTTTCTGTAGGTGTCATGTTTACTCTTGGCATTCAGATTTTTCGAAAATATTTTTGTTTTTTATTCCAATCGTATAACAAAAGTTGTAGTCAATAACTCACTGTATTTTATTAGTGTTTTCGAGATTTTCTCGGTTTTCATGCAAGCGCTATTCGACATTTCAAGAGAACCAAAATATTCCCAACATTATATTCCATGCTATTATTACAAACATTTGCTGCCAGTCATTTTGATTTTCAGAAGGAAACATATCCCATCAGTTGAAAAATATTTGTTATTCGCTTTATCACAGTGTTTTCGATATTGCATAATTTGTATAGTAGATAGATAAGTAGGTGCGACTTTGGTGATGTCCATGAACTTTTTTTAACACATTTCTTTTTACCCAACTACCACCTATCATTTATTATTGAATAAAATACACTTGTATCTAGTGTACATGAATATTAGACAAAAATATACACAATTATATGGTTGTACCATCGTACCATTGTACTGCTTGAATGATGAAACCGTCATTATAATATCACTTTTCCTTCACTTCTAAGAAGAATCATATCTTATCATATCGAAACATAACTCATAATACATCATTTTGATTTCAGTTATTAAGTTGAGATGGTGAAGGAAGGCAATCCCTGTCGGGGTGAGTAGCTGTCTACAAAATACATGATAATATCATTCATCAATTCAGCGAACTCGATGTCGTTCTCTTAATGCGACAAAAATAAAATAAACAATAATTCTAAAATTTGCATGGTCGGTAGCAGGTTTAAAAGATATTCAAGATCTAGGTAGCCTATGAAATATATGTTGTATATGGTTGTATGAAGGGTTAATTTCATAATTTTTCACATTTTAACCTCAAAACAAATTATATTCCACATATTAATTTACTTTTCAGAAATGAATATCTCTTGATGATGGCAATGTTGCAAAGTTCGACGGTATACCCCCTTTTCTCCTTTGTCTTTGTAGCTATATATAATTTCTGAAATTCAAATCATCGAATATTCTCACTACATAGAGGACACTTCCTCACATTTTAGGATTTTTGTTTCATTCTCCGGTTTTCCTGGAAATAACATCAACTTTCGATCGATTGTCAAATGGAACACCCTATATTTTATTCCATAATTGATTAGAGATTATTATAACAAGTCAACGATACCGGGTTTGATTGGGTTATTTCAATATTGATTACCTACCGAAGGCATAGATTTAACAAACCGAAAGGTCAGGATTTTTAGTTTTTTGAAAAGTTCTCTACAGCTAGTCAATATTCTCAATAATGCGTATCACGTATTTTTGTAAAATAAAAACTCTGTTTACATTAGCACTGTTTCCCCAATTTAGTATTCCATATCTCATGTGAGAGTGAACATTGGTATAATACAGTGTGATGAGAATGTGTTTGCTGCAATGATTTTTCAAGTATTTGATGCTGTAGCAGGCACTTTCTTACATAATTGGTTGGTATGCTCTGTCCATGATAATTGCCTGTCAAAAATAACTCCTAGTAGTTTCACGTTTTCAGAACAGAGTAATTTGTTTTTCTGTATCTTTAAATATTATAGGTGGGTCTGTGCCCGAAATATATCAACACTGTTTTATTGTGGTTCAATGGGAAATTATTATTTTCTGACCATCGTATTATGTTATCGTATACTATTTCTGTAGAACAGATCAGTGATTGTTGGCTGTCACCTGATATAATGATGTTAGTATCATCAGCGTAACATATAATTTTGACATTCGGAATATTTACTACAAAATATATGAGGTCATTTGCAAATACATTAAAAAGCATAGGTCCCAAAACAGATCCCTGTGGAACTCCCTGTGTGATGGTATAGGAAGGACTGTTAGTGCCGTAGACTCTCAATTTTAGGTCTCAAAGTAGGGGGAGCCATTTGAGATTTCAAAGTAGGGGTGTCTGGGGGTGAAGGGGATGAACATAGAATTCAATTGATACTGGCATTTTACTTCCCCCTCGATATCTAAATCGGCCTGTTTTTTCCGAAAACTATATTCTTCGCAGATCAAAAGATATGCAGGGTGGTAAGTTTTGAAATGAAAGCCCTCTGTAGAACAACACTAGATAATAATAATTATAATAATAATGAGCATACTAGCTGGTCTCTCTAACTCCTTCATTTCCCATGGACAGTATCCACCAGATACACCCTAGCGGTCCTAGGATGCGTCGGCCTGGGCATCATCTACGGCCTAAAGGTGAACCTCCACGTGGCCATTGTGAGCATGGTGAACCACACCGCCGTGGCGGCAGAGGGCGGCGGCGACGCCCATGGGACGGTTGCGGGCGGCAACTCTAGCTCGGCAGGCGGCGAAGGTGCTTGTGCTGCTGACGACACGAACTCGACCGGGATACTAGTGGAGGTGAATTTTACAACATTGTACATACCTGATTCGATTTATCTCACTTACTTACTTATACAGTGTGGTCATTTAAGTGTGTAACATATGGGAATCTGTTTAATGAATTGCACAACCAAAATACAGATAGTGTCAAAAGTTGGTGCAATGGTTGCAAGTCACACAGCATACAGGGTAGGTCAAAAAATATAAAAATTGCTCAAGAGTAAAGTACCCTTATTTCAGAAAATTCGGCAAAATGTTATTGAGAAAAGTTGTTTACAATTGAAAGTTATGCCTAAATACCAAAACATGGCCTCCTAAGAAATTTTTTTGTTCGTGAATAATTTCCTAGCTGCGCCGCCATTTTGGCATGAAAATATATATACACAATTCTATTCAAAAATCTCGACCTAGGTATATTTCCAGTGAAACCGGAAATGGTATTCGATTGTTTTTTCATGGAAAATATGTGTTTCAAGGAACTACATCTTCGATTCAAATGTCAAAAGTCGAACATAAAAAACAACTGAATTACGATTTGGCCAATGATTTCGACGAACAAGACACAAGAGAATCGTTGAACTCGTTCCAGTTTTTTGTATGGAAATGTCTGCAGTAGGCTGTGTAGTGTCCGCTAAAGATGGTACTCACATAATGATATACTCAGACTCACCTAGAATGCCAATACATACGGATGCGCGAAATCGAAATTACAACATAACAGATAGCTACGTAAGATATGGTATGGATATGCCGTCCTTCGGAAAGGACGTTAAGCCGGCGGTCCCTTGGCCATGGATGTTGGACTCGTTAAAGATCCCTACCTCTGGTTGGAACACCAGAGGATTCAGAAAAATTTCCGGTTGGGGGTAGTGTGCTTACCAGCGTCGGTGATTAGCCTCAGTAGCCGACGTTAAAGAAACAAGAAAAAAAATAGCTACGTGCCTTTCTGAGTTTGCGTATTGCGACAGCATCGACGCCATATTTAGGGGAGTATTATGAATATAATGAAGGGTACATGAATTCTCCATCTATAACATCAGAACAGTTTAAAAAAAATTTAAAACTAATTCAGTGACTATTTTGCTGAAAAATTTCACCGAGTGTGTCATAGCTGTCAAATGAAGTGTACAGGACTGTATCTGGGTCACAGTCACAATTCACACTAGTTCGCATGATTTTGTGGTCTGGTTAACGTTTTATGTAAGTTTCAACTGATTTATTTCATGAGTAATATTTTATGTATATTAGGAACTATGCATTTCTATATGAATCCGAGAAATTATATGTCTTTGTGTTGATAAAAAAACAAAAACAACTCTTTCGAGCCTGGCTCTGACCTCATTCATAGAAGTGCGTACGCGAAATCAATTTGGCTCGATACATTTTCCAGTCATTGGCATTCTAGGTGAGTGTATATAATTTTGTGTTGGTACCGCTGTGATTAGAGATAGATGCCTGAGATAGCGTACCTACAGATTGTACGGAACGATGTTGTCAGCTGCGTATAGGTCGTGTCCAAGTCGGTCAAAGGGAAGTGGACAATGGCGTATAGTTTCTCACTGAACTTTTCTAACTGCGAGAAACATTTCATAATAAATATCCAAAATTTTAGGGAACTCGTGTATAGATTTTTTTTATCGCTTGGAGCGCACGAAAGGGAATGCCTATAATGTTCAAAGAACATCGTGCGTTCCTAGGAAGGATAGGGATAGGAGGTAGGCATTGGAATTTTTATTGAACTTCTGGAGATTATATGTTGTTGGGAATACTTCCTCAGGCAATGAATTCCAGAGCCTAGCCGTTCTATGGATGAAGGTTTTTTTGATAAAGTGCAGTTCGACATCTTTCGAGGTTGACATTTTCTTTTTTCTTTGCAAACTAAGCAAGTTGGTTTTTATTCGCCGGCTAACACCTACACTGGTATAGTTTATACGAAGTCACAGTTGAAGAAACCAAAAAAAATGTTAACCGGCTGCATGTCGGCAATCCTTCGACATGCCGCAGCTCACAGCGGCGGTTAAAATATTTTTTTCATTAACACAAATTAAAAATAATCAGTAGTATAAGGAACTTCGAGATATGTATGTAACAATATGAATAAGATAAGTACTATGAAAATGCCAATAATTCTAAATTTCTGATTGGTAGAGTTACTCTATTTATATACACGAATATTCGAGATTATACAAGGTAACTTACTCAATTGAACATTGTTCTGATTGGTTCAAAATCATACGAAGAAAATAATCAAAATAATAAAATATGAATAACATTGAACCTATAATGAAAATTCTCAGAAAATTAATGGTATATTCTGACAGGTTTTTTTTGGTGAAATTAGAAATAGGTACCGTTCCACAGTTTCAATTTACATGTCTCATCACTTTCCTACCTACACTTTACACAATTTCACTACACATGTCAACTTTCCTAAACTTCACACTTTGGTTATGATAATCACAATATGATTCACAACATACCACTTACTCGTTTTCGTAACTGTTATACACATCATCTTGTGTACAACGGTTGAGTTTAAGAGCAGCTTAGGCTGACACTCCGCCCTTTCACCAATAATTATTGTAATATCGTATCTCAACATGGATCCTTGTTTGTATGTACTTTGGTGAATAAAGACGTATTATTATTATTATAATATATATTAGTCACTATCGGACTCTTCATGACTTGAATCTTCATTTACCCTAATGATCACTGGATACTGTCCCGATGGTGGTTGAAACTGACTCGCTAAATTGCGGTGATTGGTTATTTTTACGTACTTTGCTTTTAATAGCAATTAGTTAAAAACACAGTAATATGGGGACAAACGTAAGACAGTATGGCCGTGTGCTCCAAAGAGTTCATCAACTACATATTCCTCCGTGAAATTTTGTTTCCTGATCATTTCCAGTAATTCTTTCTTCAGTTTTTTAGGAGATATGTCCATGCCTTTTTTCTCCATAAATTGAATAATGTCTGCCTTTTTCGTGTTGGTGCTCGGTATTTTCGTTTGTTGACGTGAATGGTATGACGCATCATCCATATCTATAGCTGGATTCTCTGGAATATTTGGTATAAGCTGCTGCTCTGCCCATTTCTCAAATAATTCTGCCGTAATATCGTCGTGATAATCGGCAGAGGATTGCTTGATATTTTTGAAAGACAACAACAATGCATTGTCAACAAATCAATTTTCATTGCCGGCGTGAAGGATAATAATTCTTTTGCCTCTCGAACTCGGACCACTCACATAACAGTTTTTACTATCATCTACCCAACCGTATTGAACAACGTCATGAGTGTCGAACCACGTTTCATCTAGATTAAAGGTCTATTTGCTTTACGGTATTCCTTTATTTTACGTAGATATCCTTGCCGATGGTCTACGATGGGTTTTGATTCCATAATCACCATCCTTTTGTCTAATTTCTTATGACTGAACTCGCAATCTAGTAAAACATTTCACAACGTACTTAACGATTTGTAATTATAATCCGCGTATTCATTCAACTTATCCCTGAAATGTGGCAATAACTCTGTATATGGTGGGTATAGCTTATTTTAGTTAATTCCTGTATTCTCTTCACAAGTTGGTTTTCTGAAGAATCATTATTCTCGTCCTTGAGACGCGAATAGATATTCAAAATTACCCTTCGCGTTTGAACGTGTAAGTCTTTATTGGCGAACTCCGCTTGCTCTTCCTCCGAATCACTATCACTCACTTCGTTGACTTCCTGAAAAGGCCTCCTGAACACAAACCACTATGATTGAAATAATAATTTTATGAATTTCGAGTTGAACCAAAGAAGGCAACCTAGCTCGTACCTGCCTAGCGCAGGCTAGAAGATTCTTATCACACAGAAGTCTGCCCATGCAACTCTGACCAATCAACATTCAGTATAGTTTGAAGTAACCAATGAGACGCGGTTTCTAGCATGACAGCGCTCGTCCAGTCCACGTTGACTGCACAGGCTGCATACCGGGGAAAGCTCAGTAGAAAATATCTCATTCATTCCTATTCCAATGTTAAGCAAATCGACAAATCCTCGTATCGTCCTCAAAAACGGAAGTTTTTCAGCTGACTTTGCATAAACTATAAAAGAGTTGAAGTATTCATCATTTCAGGAAGGCCCCTTCGTGTGGTCCAGCACCGTGCAAGGCCTCCTCCTCAGCGCCTACTTCTGGGGCTACCTGGCCGCGCAGCTCCCAGGGGGCCGCGCCGCCGAGCTCCTCTCCGCCAAGTGGGTCATGTTCTTCTCGGTGTTCGTCAACGCGCTGTGCACGCTGCTCACGCCCGTCGCGGCTCGGCTCCACTTCGCCGCGCTCGTCGCGCTGCGGGTGGGCGAGGGCGTTGGCGGGGGAGTCACGTTCCCCGCCATGCACGTGATGCTGGCGCATTGGGCCCCGCCTGGGGAGCGCAGCGTCATGAGCAGCATCGTGTACGCGGGAACTGCCTTGGGCACGGTGGTGAGTATACTCATATGGTAATACCACAAGTGATAATATTCTGCCGGAAATATTCGGTGATTGTTACGACAGCTTGTTGCCTAGTAATTTCGTGAATGACATTATTATCAAAACTACGAGCAGTAGGCGAGATATTTTGGATTAATGTCATGAGCGAAATTAGAGCAGCAAGCTGGAGTATGTCAATCGACGAATATTTACAGGAAAAATAGTATCACGAAAGAGACAATATACCGGGTGACACAGGCTATCGGGCCACCCCTCTGTAACTTCTGCATTCGTCAACGGATTTTTCTGAAATTCGGTACAGTTATATAAGCAACTATTTCGGATTTGATGACATTACAATCCAATATGGCGGACTTCCGGTTTTTCTGGAAATGCCAGCAATTTTGTTTTTTCAATTGGAACACCCTGTATATTTTTACATCTTCAAGTTCAACAGGTCAAAACAAGTGCAATCTTGATGTCAAATGTCATTTATTCCACAGCCTACCTAGTTGAAAAATTATTCTAACTGCAAGGAAATTCATAAACTAGTTGTTGATTTTTGAAGGTATACAATTTGTTACTGCACCGAAAAACAAAAATGATATTTCATTTTGTTCCTTGATGTATGTTCTAGAGAAACGGGTAGGTGGCCCATAGGGGTTCCATTTGAAAAAAAAATAATTTTTGATCAAAAAGTGATGTGGCTGAATTGATTCCTGGATAAGTGACACAAAAAATAATTTTTCAGAAAAAATTATGTTCTTCTGTTATGTGTGACTCATTGTGAATAGTCTTGACCAGATCTCATTTATCCATGAGGTAAAATGAAAAAACAATTTTAATTTAATTTTTTTCCAAAAAATGACATTCGAAATAAAGATTGCACTTGTTTCGACCTGTTGAACTTGAACATGTAAAAATATACAGGGTGTTTCATTTGAAAAAACAAAGTTGCTGGCATTTCCAGAAATACCGGAAGTCCGCCATATTGGATTGTAATGTGATCAAATCCGAAATAATTGCTTATATAACTGTACCGAATTTCAGAAAAATCTCAAAAATCTGATGACGAAAGCAGAAGTTACAGGGGTGGCCCGATACCCTGTGTCACCCGGATAAGAAATAGGAAACATAATTTGAGTATATTCCAACTCAAACTGCGAAGAAGAACATAATGATAGAAATGAAATAATACAGAATTCAATTTCTTAGAAATTAACCACCTGGAATGTACAATTTTGATAAACAGTAATTTTTCTTATTATCTTGGAGATGGGTGCTCTCAGAAGAGTGTATACAATTGCTATCCATTCAAACAAAATAAATTGACCGTATGTGACATGTAATAATTCAAAAAAAGTTATTGTCGCCGAGGGGCTCGAACCATCGACCTCCGTATCTTCCTATCAGTTGCGCTACTTCATCTGATAATTAAATATGTAACAATAACTTGAGTGATTGAAGAAGATTACTTCGAAAAGGAATACCATAATAGTATAAAAAATAGGTAGCCAGAATAAAATTGTCTTGCCTTTCACACAAAATGTCTCACTATCGCGAATTATAGGTGAATAAAATAAAGTAGGTACTTAGGTTATTGTCTCAGATTTGAATCCAAAGCCATCTTGACCAGACACGATGTCAAAATTTTATCGCTGATAAACGAGGTTTGTTGGTCACGTGTGGGTCAATTCGCCTTCTGTATTGGTAGAGCAGTCCGATAAAATTTAATAAACAAAAAATATCGCTAGAATACAGAAGAAACCGTGAAAATGGTCGATTCTGATTGGTTCTCGCTTCGCGTCGGGCATCAAACTTCACACGCGGGACGAAATGGATACCTTTACTCCCTTGATATATAAATAGCTACTATTTCTTGAAGATATATATACAAACAGGACATCCGGATCCTTATTACATGATTTTTTTGCCTAATCCTACCTAGAAACTACAGTTCTCAACACACTAAATGGACCCTCATAATTTGACTCTATTTCGAAGATCTGTATTTTTTGAAAAAAATTGACGGATCTTCATGCGGTTTTCGATATCAGATGAGATATTTCATCGGCTTCAAAGAGAGGTACAACACTCTGAAAGAATCCGCAGAACAAAACTTACACACGGTGTAAAGTGGTACTACACTATGGTCTACATTTCCAATGCTGCCAGAACTCGATAAATTTTTTTCAAAAAATTCGTTCATATCATGATACACTGGGACCTCATCTCGGGACATTTTCGTGATTTCTCCTCAATTGGCCATAGGAACAAAAATTCGATTTTTTTTTCGAAAGTCTTGCATTTCTTGAATTCCACTTGAGCTGACTATTAGGAAAAACTGCTCTCATGTTGCGTGGAGGACAATGAAAGACGAAAAAAGCACTATTGTGGAATATATACAGGATGATAAGAACATAAGACAAAATCTCATTTCAGTAAAAAAAAAAACAAAAAATGTGACTGAAACCATGGCCCATTCGATTCAGTATATTCAGAAACGGCCTTCTCGATATCCATTATTTATATTAGACAAATTATTTGGGTGTACCTGTCCGAAGCGCAGTAGTTTCGCCAACTTAGTTAGGTTTTCTACAATTAATGTTCACTGGATGTCCATATTCGATCATTGGTCTTATTGGTGGGATTTGTAGATTTTTGTTGCTTTGATATCGATACCTTGGTTTTTGTATAAAATGAATTGGCTCTAGCTCTTGCTTTTCTTTTTATCAATGCAGTTGGTGATTTCATAATTCGTTGAGTGAGAGGTCAAGGAAAATAAAGGAGGATTTCTTGTTCTGGCCGACGTATTCAATATAATCAAACTAGGTAGATCTGGAGAATTATATCGTCCTTTCCAAGCCATCGTTAGGATACATCTCTGTCAGGGTAAGATCAGCTACTCGTATTTGTATATGTAATCATGGAGTGAGTATCGGCGAGATGTAAGAGGACTGATAACCGTTTGATAGCAATGCATTGAATGTTCGCGTATATATAGCTCTTTCTACTTTGAAATCAAATAGCACATTATTATTGTTGAATCCTCTGAAAAACGAACAGCACTAAATAGGTACGTCATCCCGACGGTTAGACGTTATTGATACGTCAGTATGAAACGGCATACAAAATGAAGATAAGTCAATTGCACAGGTTACATATCACAAATACACATAATAGCAATGTTATGTCGTAGGTGTACATATTTACTAGGAATCATTATTTCTTTCAGGTTTTTATGCTGATATCAGGAATAATAGCAGGCTCTCTAGGATGGGAAGCAGTGTTTTATATAGAAGGGGGTGTAAGCCTCATTTGGCTGGTACTCTGGGCAAGTTTTATAACAGATACCCCACAAACTCAAAAATTCATATCTGAAGAAGAGAGAACCTATATCCTCACATCTCTGAATCAAGGAAATGACACAGAAAAACATGAAGTAAGTTGAATTCGGTTTTAGTTAACAAGGAATTTGACGATCATGCATTTGAAAATTTGATACTTCTCACTTACATCATATGCGCAGTGACCAACTAGGTGCATTTTACTTCTTGGATCATCCATGTTCAATGATAATACAGGGTTCGGCAAAATGAAGTATCCAATTTAAACAGCTTATAAAAATGTATCAATTTGAATTGAACTAGACGAATTGATAGATATTTTCAAACTAGAAAAATGTGTTTTTTTTTAGCAAATGTTTGCATAACATTTTGATAACCCTGACGTAGAATATCATTCGTTTATTTATTTTTTCTGTGACGGGAAAAAAGTTTGGCATTTCATCTCTGTTGGCAGGTTATAAAATGTCACTTTTCATAAATTACTTTTTTCCCGTGGGAAAAAAGTGAGTACTTCTTTCCCGGATATATATCACATATATATACTCTGGTAATGGCTTTTGTTGTGCTATAGTTCCGAAAAATAAGTCAATAATACCGTCTCCGAGAAAGAACTGCAAGTCCTTTTATCTTCCATTCGACTTCGCGGTTTCGTATATTACTAAACAACTACTGAATTCGCAGTTTTTTAAAATCAAATCACAGAATTGAACTGACAGAAGTGACATCAGATATTTGATTACTTCAAAAGAATGATGAAGATGTCTATAAAACGCAGGTGTCCCTACTGTTAAAAACTTGAAATTTCACGTCGATAATTTTCAGATTTCGAAATAATGTAATATCTTCCCAATATTGATTCTTCCTTCCTTCTGTCACAGAAAAAAATAGTGTATTATACACGGGAAAAATATTAGATTTTAGCTCACGGTTTTTTGTCTCCCTCCGCTACGCGTCGGGAGACAACACAACCTGGAGCTAAAATCTACTACTTTTTTCCCTTGTATAATAAATAACTATTATAACATGTTCAATTCCAAGTAAATTTTTTTGGTTTAGCCAAAAACACTTCAAGCTTTAAAATAGTTTTCATATTGAGGATCAATTTGTTATTGTATGAGATATTCCCATAATAGGTACATCCATTTTGCAACCCTATTATACAGGGTGGGTCGGGAGGAACGCATCAAACTCCAGGTGTGTATTGTACACGTGAAAATAATTTGAAAAAACCCATAACGTTCTGATACGATTCTCCTTTGTTTTCATTTTAAAGTTGAATAGATTTGTGGCATTTTATAAGACTTTAATTGTACAAACTAGATTGTTTCATCTGTTTTGTTATTCTGACATGTGTTCGTGTAAGTGTCAGTGTCTTTGACACGTTTATTCTCGAGTTTGTACGAATAAAGTTTTATGAAATGCCACACGTCTATTCAAATTCAGAATGAAAACAAATGAGAATCTTATAAGAACATATGTTTTTTTTTATTTATTTTTACCTCTGTACAATACAAACCTGGAGTTTGGTGCGTTCCTGCCGACTCACCCAGTATAAGTTGACTAAACTTAACGGCGCGCTGCAGGAGATGTTCTCTGTTGTGACGTCATGTTCTCTGCAAGTAGGCTTTGATCGAACCTGTCCATAAACAGTTTGAAAAAATGAAAAAAGTTTCCACTTTTGATGAACTTCCGACTTTGGAGTAACGATATACAAATTTTACAAACAAAAAAAAACTCCTATTCTAAATAGCAAAGTAATTGATCATTCTACAAAAAGTGAGTTTGACAAGGCTCCTTGGATAGATGACAACTATTTGTGTAAATATGAAAATTAAGTGATTTTTCTGTGTCTACTTAGCTATGGAAAGGTCTATATCAATAATTAATAAATACTTGACTATAAAGTTATATTCCGGTTTTCTATAAAATATGCAACCCGGATTTTTTGTTTGTTTCAGGAAAAACACAAGATACCTTGGAAAGCGGTTTTCACATCCCCTGCATTTCTCGCTATCCTAGTAGCCCACACTTGCTCGAATTGGGGCTGGTACATGGTCCTGATAGAACTACCGCTGTACATGAAGTCCGTTCTGAATCTCAAAATATCCGAAAACGCCGTTCTCACCGCCTTACCCTTCTTATGCATGTGGATTTTCAGTATCGTCCTGAGCAAAGTCTTGGACACACTTCGTGAAAAACAGCTGATATCTACGACGATTGCCAGAAAGACGGCGACAGGCTGTGCCAGTATAGTCCCCATGATTTGTTTCATAGTGCTGAGCTATATTGGGTGTCAGAAGACGCTAGCAATCGTATTGATGACGGTGGCAGTAATGTCTATTGGTGGGATGTACTGTGGATTTTTGTCGAATCACATCGACATAGCACCTAACTTTGCTGGGACTTTGATGGCTCTGACCAATACAGTGGCTACTATCCCTGGTATAATTGTTCCCGTTTTTGTTGGAAAATTGACGGCTACTGATGTGAGTAAAATTGTTGCATCAGAAATAATAATAATAATAATAATGATTGATTTTTCTATCAGGACATTTTTGGAATCAATATCACAAGACCTTCACCAACTCATTCTAAACAGGATAACTTTCCTATTAGTCTGCATTCGCATCTTGCATCTCCGAAAATTATAATAATAATAATAATAATAATAATAATGACGTGTCTTGATTTTACGTTAAGAATAAGCCATAAATAACTTTTAAGGATATTGTTGGTGAATCAAAACCTCGAGACCTTCACCAACTGAATAACACCATTCTAAACAAAATAACTCTCATATCATCTTATTCGGTACTAAGGGGGTTGAAGTACGTAAAGTACGTATACTACCTGCAGCTCAAATGAAAATTAATATATTCATAAAGTTATCTACAAACTTTTGGTTTGGGAGACCGTTTGTGAGAAAATATTAATTTGTGTATTTGTTCAAATAAGTTTTGTCGAATGAACAATCCCAAATCCCAAAAATTTATCAAAGAAATGAAATACTGGATTCAAGAACAGAAAAACAATAATCCATCATTAATTTTTCAGCCTTCTATTGGATCCTGGCGAATAATATTTTGGACCACTGTGGCATTTTACATAGTGGAAATTTTAGTTTATATGACATTCGGATCAGGTAACGAACAACAGTGGAATAATGTGGAAGAATTGAAAGGAGAATTACAACCTCTCAAGCCAAAAAAAGAAGAAGAAGTGGGAAAGGAAACATCCAAACCAGATACAGCTTGAGTTTTCAACAACTCGGATCAATGATCCAATCAGAAATAAATGTTAACTTCTCAAGTTCGGCCGGTAGCGAATTTAATGTTCACCTTATTTATATTCCATCGTGAGTGAACTATTTTATGACAATGAAAACTACATAGTTTTTGGTTAATTATATCGACTATCTAAGTGTTATGTAATAAGTTAGCATGTGTCGTTGTCTGATTCATCAGTTGAGACAGAGATTATTGAGATTACCGACGTTCCATTGCTAGCAGAAAATAAAATTTGCTACAATAAATGATGTAACAAATACCATTTCAAAATTTGAATATCTTCCCTCGTAAACGTGAACATTTGATATTCAATTCTTAATCGTTATGGGCTTACTAATGCCACTATCCAACTAACACCTGACAAGTAACCAGTGCAAGGCGTTGCTGTGAAGGAAATGTCGCGGGAATTCACAGAAAAAGCGCCAGAAGTCGTTAGATGTTGCTAGTGAGCGAATATCTTCAAAAAACGAATGCAACTATGTAAAAACGCAAGATTTCTGAGGTGTTGCATTATCCAAAAAAAAAACAACTTCAAAAAATGTGAAAAACGATAGAATTCCTAAACGTCGCAAATCAAGTTCAAGTATCAATTTAATGACCTACCCTGAAAACGCTAGGTTTAGAGACGAAATCGCGGAGACGGCAACACTGCACCTAAATTGTGATAGAGCCAAACAGTCTGCATGAGAGGGAACAGTGGTACAGTTGAATAGTTGATCATCCATCGCGTATATTTGTTGAACTTTGTGCTGGTTGACTGGCTGGGGGAAATGTAGTTCAAATGCATTGAAAATCCTACATGCCGGCAATTTCTACATATACCGGGTCTCCACGTAATGTGGAATGCATGTTTTTGGAACGCGGGGCTACATAAAATGGGATATTATTAAAAGGAATATCCTGTATTTTTTACATATTCTGATTTGTCATAATCTTGTCTACATAGGCATGTCTTGTTTTTCAAATTATTTTGTGGCGTAGCCAAGTTAATTGGAATAATTTTGGGAAATTATAATACAAAGATGTTGATACCAATGTGCCTGCTGATGTTCATTTTGAAAATTTTTATCCAAATTTATGATTGCGCTTCGATAATACTTCGACTATCGCGTCAATGAAGTCACCATTGAGAGTTATCTTACAGGGTGATTTATAATGAACAGCCAATGTTAACCTTTTCGATTGGTCGTTATTTTGGTATTCCAAATGGAGCACCCTGAATATTCCAGTAGAAATGCATTCCTTTTTTCATTATCTTTCATCTGATATGTATCATACATAGACAGTTATTGTATAGTGAAGAAGTTTTCTGTGCTAACCAGTATACAGTTTTTCGACGTGATCGTCAAACGACTGCAAGTAAAAAATCCGATGGGGGAGGAGTTCTGATAGCGATTCGAAAAACATTCAAAACCGTCCTTCAAGTAGAGTGGCAAAGCGATGCTGAAGATATCTGGATCACTGTTTGTTGTGAAGGTTCTAATCATAAATTGCATATATGCTGCGTCTACTTACCTCCAAAAGACGACATTGCTAGAGTTTATTTCACCAGTAAATTGAATGACATCCTAGATATTATATCTGATGACTCTGTTTTAATTTATGGAGATTTCAATATGCCTCAAATCGACTGGATCAGAGTTAAACAAAATAATTTCAGCAGACCTTCGAACATCGATGAAAAAACCGCAAGTTTGTTCGATTTATTATCAGTAAATGAACTTATGCAATACAATTCTATATACAATGCTAACGATAGATTGCTAGATTTAATTTTCTATAATAAGGACAACGATGTCTATAATCTCAACATAAGTGACACTCCCCTAGTCAATACTGACAATCATCATCCACCATTAGAATTCAATTTGAAAAACGTCAAATTGAATAGATTGAACTATAAATGTGAGATATTACAATAATACAATTTCAAGAGAGCTAAATATGTAGAACTCAATAATTACTTAGGAAATATTAATTGATCTAACGTATTCGGAAATGAATCTGTAGATGAGTCAACTGAAAGATTGTATAATGTATTGAATCTAGCGATCGAAAGATTTGTTCCCAAATTTGTGATTAGAAATAGAAAATATCCAATTTACTTCTCAGCTGCCACAATTAATGCAATAAAACAAAAACGCTCAACTCACAAAAAATGGAAACAATCTCACGATCTCAATTATTATAACGAATTCATATTTCTTAGACGTCGTAGTAAAAATCTCATTTCCTCTGATTACAGAACATACATAGCCGACATTGAATCCGAAATACAGGTTAACGTCAAAAAGTTCTGGAATTTCACTAAGAATTCAAAGAACAGCAGAGGATTTCCGTCATTAGTAAAATTTAACGATAAGGAGGCCACCAAAGGGGAAGATATTTGTAATATTTTTTCCACTTTCTTTCAATCTGTTTATGAACCATATTGTCAGCGTCCTCTACTCAACCCCGACATGAGCGAAAGCAATCTCACACTCGATAATTTCACCCTAAACGAAGAAGAAGTCTTAAAAAAACTTAATGATCTCGATGTAAAAAAGGGAAGTGGCACGGATGGTATTCCAGCACTATTCATAAAGAAATGCGCTAATAGCTTATATGTTCCGTTGAATAAATTGTTTAACTTATCACTAAAGGAAGGTCATTTTCCAACTTTATGGAAAACTGCATTTCTCATTCCGATTTTCAAAAACTCTGGAGATCGGGAACAAGTTACGAATTATCGAGGTATAAGCAAACTCTGCATTATGGGAAAAGTTTTTGAAAGTCTGGTGTACGATATAATGTTCAACCGATTGAAAGGTGCAATTATCGAAGAACAACATGGATTTTTCGCAAACCGTGCAATTGAAACAAACTTAGTAACGTACACTCAATATATTTGTAATCAGATGGATGAGCGAGTTCAGGTAGATTCTATCTACACCGATTTCAGTAAGGCTTTCGATAAAATCGATCATAACATATTGATGCTTAAACTTTCTGAAGTTGGTGTACATGGCGATCTCTTACGATGGTTTTCTTCGTACGTTTTTAACAGAACCCAAATTGTGAACATTAATGGTTATCAGGCTAAAGCTTTCACAGTGACCTCAGGAGTGCCACAAGGCTCACACTTAGGTCCTCTGCTATTCCTGATCTTCATTAATGACGTGAAAAAGTGTTTCGTAAATTCTAAATTCTTACTTTACGCAGACGATCTAAAAATATATTCTAAAATTGAGTCTCGTGAGGACTGTGCAAAACTAAATTCTGATCTTCTGAGGTTCTCACAATATTGCGAAAAGAATAGACTATTCTTAAACATAAATAAATGTTTCTTTATCTCATTCACAAAAAACGTCAAGAACTTTGAATTCAGTTATAATATGTCAGGTACTATTTTGAAGAGAGTGGAGGAAATCAAAGATCTAGGGCTTATTTTAGATTCCAAAATGAATTTCAACAAACATTACGATTATATAATAAGTAAATGTAATAAAATGTTGGGCTTCCTCACTCGAATTTGTAAAAGTTTTAAAACTCAGAAATCATTGAAATCTCTTTACTTTGCATTTGTTTACAGCAAGTTAAATTTCGCAAGTGTGATTTGGAATCCAGGATATACCGTATATAAACTACGGATCGAAAAAGTACAAAATAGATTCGTAAGATTTCTGAATTTTAAAATAAATGGAACCTATAACATTGAAAATATTCATCTAGTTCGGCAGTCGTTTGGTATTTTGGAACTAGAAAAACGAAGAATAATCACTGACTTAGTCTTTACGTTCAAGGTTTTAAGGAATCATTATGACTGTCCAACATTATTATCATTTTTCTCTATACATATTCCTCCTAGGAATACTCGCAATAATTTCTTTCTCAATATAGATTATCGAAATACAAATTTAGGCCGTAATTCTCCAATTATTAGGTTAAGTAGTAGTTTTAACAAATATTGTAGTATTGATATTTACTGTATATCTTTATTCACTTTCAAACAAAGAGCAAAAAAAATATTTCTCACCTAAAATTCCAAAATTGTTCAACATTTCAAATTTCACTTTAACTATCATATTTTTACTCACTTCATTATAATACGAGCTGTCATGTAAAATATTGTATCAGCGGATACTTTTTTGGGTTTTGAACCTGTTTGTATCCCAAAGTTGTAATAAATAAATAAATAAATAAATAAATAAATTGCAAAATTATCAAAGGTAATAATACTATGATAATATCGACGAAATTATATCGATTATATCGTGAACATTTATCTTTATTACAAAAACTTATTTATTTACAGGATTATTGAATCAACTGATTTTTTTTATCTTAGAGCGCACAAAAGAAATTATATTCCTAATTCCCATAATGTTCGAAGAACGTCGTGCGTACCTAGGGAGAGGAGGTAAGGTGATGGATTTTTTTTATCTTTTGGAGGTTATGAGTTCTTGGGAATACTTCCATCGGCAAAGAATTCCAAAGCTTTGCCACTCTATAGACGAATGATTTTTGGTAAAGTGTTGTTCGTTATATTTCAAGTGATGGAATTATAGTAGAGATTTCTGAAGATCATTTCCCGTGGAAGTATCTATAGAACAGTAAAAGCTCGCCGACTTTAAAGATAAACACGAAAAGGGGGTCGTGCTTACAAAAGGTCGGGTCTTTCTGAATTTTTCATATGTTGTTATCACCTAAACCAATATCAAAAAACCAGATTTGCGATTTCCGAAGTGCTGTGCGAGCGACGGTGTATCCAAAAAACTAAAATTTTCGGACTTTTTTCAGTTTTTGCTCAATATCTAAGTGAAGGAAGGGTGTGGCCGGTATAGTCACTCCATATACTTTCGAAAATGATGGAAGTAAGATATGGTGTGCGTATTCGGCCATTATTACATATTGAACATTTCAGAAAAATAACTCGACCGGCCTACTATGATTTCTCTACGTCACAACGAGCGAGACGTTGATTCTACATTTTTCCGCTAGATGGTGATGCTGCTATTGCTGCTGTGACGAGTGGAAATGAAATGGCAAACGCCATTTTAGGTACGCGGGATATATGTAACAGTGGTATTAAACAACTCTGAATTCGAAAAATCTGCGACAATTTCAAAACTGACAGAAGTCATAATTGTGCAATGTCGCCATCTATTAGAAGATCAACGGAACCATTGCTCTCGCTGCTCTCGAGAGGACGAGTAAAATTTCTGAAACAAAAGCGCATCAGTAATTACACCATATCTTACTTCCATCAATCTTTCGAAGTAGACTAGAATTGCTTCAATTTGCGATCAGGGCGTCCTCTATACAAAAATCGGTTCACAAGATACAGTTTCTCCAAAAACTTCAGAGATGATAACTTATCTTGTGGAATACCTTTTAGGCACGTCAAGAATGATTTGAAATGAAGTTTCAGAAAATTTAATAAGCTTTCATCCGAGACTAGAATGGTAGGCCCAGCGATTCTGTCAAAAACGGCAGATAACCAAAAACAGTCATGAGTGAGTTTTGGCGGAAAATTCGAAAAAACTGCTCTTATGTCTTTTTATTTTTTATTTATCGAACACACAATTACATTACATACATTACAATTTATTAATTTTTGTTGTTGAAAAATTGTTTGATGGAAAAAGAAGATGATATACTTTTCGGGAATCACGTCATCAAATATTGTTTTATATACTTATATACATACTAAAATCCTACTATATCCTATACTATAAGGACAAATTACATCAACACAAAAAAGGAAACTAATATGAAACATGTAAGTAGGTATTTTGTTCTGGTTGCCAAATCATGCCTTCCTTTCATGGCCAGATCTTGGGTTTGCACGAAGATTGTGTCCTGATAACTGTGATGAATGCTGGGAGAGGCGCCCAGTCAGTAGTCGGGTCATCTTCATCATCCGGGACGTTAATGCACAATTTTCCACCGAATGACTGGCAGAGGGCTGAGCAGTGGAACCCAGCCTTTCTGCACGAGCACCCTTTCTTGCATTTACAGGATATTTCCGTCTTATACCTCAGGATATCCAAAGTATCCCTCGCGATGTCACCCTCATATAGAACTACAAATCATTTTATGCCTGCTTCTCTCGCGGCTTATGGGGAGATCTAGCCAAAGGAAGACTTCCACATGCTCAGCAAGTGGTTCATTCTTGCTCAGGAGTGTGATGATTTTGGTCTTTCTTTGGCCAAAGGGAGCTGCGGTAGTATCGCACAGGGTAAACGCGTGGATGAATAGTCTCGCCCCTGGTGATCGCTGGGACTCCTGGTGGTTGTAGGAGGTTGTAGAGTAGTGACTGCAACCAGCTTTGCTCTTCATGCTCTTCTGATGGTAGGCGTTTGTCTCTTCAGCGCCTAAACCATTGAGAAGGACGAGCAGGTCGTTTTGGAAGCGCCGTGATGACAATCTCCCGATCCGTATCTTCTTCGGCAAATGCCACTTCTACTCCCTCCTTCTGAAAGGCATCACAAAGAAGAGTTATTAGGCGTCTCTTGTTGTTTGCATTGCCCAATACATGCTCTTGAGCAATTTGAATTACTGTGGATTCATCGAACGATAATGAGCTGCGTAGCGCCGGTGTCGTTCGGTTGTTTTGGTGTTTTTTTTTTGGTAGCATCTTCGAAGTAACCGACAAAAACCATGGAGACGTTCTTGCAAAAGTGGTTACGGTCGTAGGTAGTATAAAGCACCAGAAGTGTTCGAACTGTGCTCTTCCACTGCCACACGACTTTGTGCAAGAGGTATAGTCACAATCCAAAACGACGTGAGTGCTGGCATTTATGGGCGTGTGCCTAAAAAAAGGAGTGGAGGCAGAGTAAAGTGGTTTTGTGCACTTGCGCATCCTCTGCTCATCAAACAGACATCGGGAACGGAGCCAACTCATACTTGAAGTATCTCACCGGGTAAACGTGTGAGTAAATAGTCTCGCCCCTGGTGAACGCTGGGAGTTCTGGTGGTTGTAGGAAGTTGTAGAGTAGTGACGGCAACCAGCTTTGCTCTTCATGCTCTTCTGAAGGTACGCATTTGTCTCTTCAGCGCCTAAACCATTGAGAAGGAGGGGCAGGTCGTTTTGGAAGCGCGTTGATGACGATCTCCCGATCCGTATCTTCGTCAGCAACTGTCACTTCTACTCCCTCCTTCTGAAAGACATCACAACGAAGATGTATTAGGGCTCTTGAGCAATTTGAATTACTGTGGATTCATCGAACGATAATTCGTAACTGGAATGAGCTGAGTAGCGCCGGTGTCGTTCGGCTGTTTTGGTGTTTTTTTTTGGTAGCATCTTCGAAGTAGCCGACAAAAACATGGAGACGTTCTTGCAAAAGTGGTTACGGTGGTAGGTAGTAAAAAGCGCCAGAAGTGCTCGAACTGTGCTGTTCCGCTGCCACACGACCTTGTGGTATGGAGCTATAGAGCTTTTCCACACAACCTGGACACCCACCTGGTAGGTATGTTATATGAACGGTAGTGATGCATCTGCGAGAAGCATGTGGTGAATACCACTCCACAAAAAGCGCAAAGCATCAATATTTTATATATTGAAAAATATATAGTGTCCTATTTAAAAAAACGTAACTTTGGGTAGGGTGACCATACGTACTCTTTATAGTACAAGTATTCTTTTATCAGGCTGCTGTCCTCTCGTAACCTCTTTCATCATTTGGAAGGTAAATGTCCTCTTTTTATAAGTTAGGCTCCATTAGACGGTTTGAAGTCGAAGATAAGATTAATAAGGAATATGAAAAAAAAACTGAAAATGATGAGGAGAGAAAGAAGTTTAATTCATCACTCCTAAACAGATGTTCTCTGGTTCTTTCAATTTAAGTTTCTGTGCTTTCTGCTCAATTTCTATGGCTCTATTCTATACCCTGTGTGTTCCTGAAATTAGTGTCACTTTTCAGGTTCTCTTTCTTTTTTATTTGTGTTTCATCTGGAATCTCAAGTCTACTTCAAAATAATAGGGATTTTTTTCCAATATTCTGTGTTTTTTTTTTTCAATTTTTTGACCCATGATATTGGTGAAAATAGGCAGTTGTTTAGTAGTAGGAGGAAATCTAATTTTCAATTCAAATAATAATAATAATATTTATTGATCCTGTAGGACATTTTTACAATGTATAGGAAAGTCAGAAAGAATGAGACACTTGAACATAAAATCAGTCACTATACTGGATTTGAATCTAACATTATATGTCTGTCTCTGTCCAAGAATCCTGTATAGAATCCTGAATACTGTAGTACCATTTTCTTAACAGTAGTTCTTTTAAAAAGGTATTTGACCTTGAATAATGAGAAAAAAAACTAAAAATACTTTTTTAGGTATCAAAATCTGGCCACCTTTTAACTTTGGGTTACATCTAAATAATGACAGATTATTTTGAAAAACTGACTATGTCACTGGAATTTATGTAAAAAAATGTATTGGAACCATTTAACTTTTCCAATGAGTTGAAAGGTAGCTGAGATACCAGGGGTCCAAAAATTTCAAACCATGTTAAAATTGAAGGCAGATATCCCCTTGAGGACAACGAAAATGGGACAACCTGTACAGAGGTTGATGGCCAAAACCCAAGTGATTGCTTTCAGTGAGGTCAAAACTGTCAAAAGCTCAGTCAAAAGCACTGGAATTATCAATAACCTTTGTGGTTGAAGTTGTGGTATGGTCAATATAGTAAAGAAAGTGTATAGGCTGCTGACCAGTCGCCGGCAGTCGGCAAACTATACTTTTTTTCTAGACAGTGGAATACATTCTTTCTGTATAAAATCGGTCGGCAATCCAAAAAAAAGTATAGTAGGCCGACTGGCGACTGGTCGGAAGTCTACTTTTTTTTTTAATGCCGACCAGTCAGCAGACTATACTTTTTCTCTAAACTGCCAACCTCGCAGCCGACCATTCCGTGGAATACATTCTTTCTGTATACCACAAACATCCAAGACGGTTAGTAGCTTAGTCTAGTGGTTAGACTAGAGTGATATTTTGGCGACGAACTACTTCCGAAGGATGATGGAATACTCTGCTTTGGAACTCATGACGTCACGACCACAAATTTAGAACCCGGTTCGTCGGAAATGATGGACGCTCCTCTGAAGGAGAGTTACATAGTTGTTAACAGTAGTTAGAAACGTTCAAAATGGAGTTCGAGAGATCAAAAAATTGAGGTTAATATATAATTTGTATGGTTCCATTGAAATTATGACGTCAAGACCATGTTCGTCGCCAAAATATCACTTAGGCCTGGGAAAAATAATCGATATATCCGATATATGGAACTTATATGTTCTGACATCCATATGTTCTGACTTATCGATAATCGATATGTGGTATCTAATATCGCCCAGCCTTAGGTTAGACATCCTATCCTATGTCAATCCTATGGTCTTGTGTTCAAATCCCATATGGAATAGTTTGTTTTTTATTTCTTTTTTAATCATTTTTTTTTTCATGAGATTTTTGTTTCACTATTTGGTTAGTCTGCTTGGGTTGAGTATACTGTGGTATACATCACTTTTCCTATGGTCCGGTGTTCAAATCCCATATGGAATAGTTTGTTCTAATTTCTTTTCTATTCAATTTCTTTTCATGAGATGTTTATTTCACTATTGTTAGTCTATATGGGTTGAGTATACATCACTTTATTTAAATAATATTCCATTATTTTCTATTCTAGTTTTTCCTTCCTGCATTGTTAGTTCACAAGATTTTTTTGATCAGGTTTTTATTCCAACCAATAGGTTAGTGTGTTTGCATAAGTTAAATCTCATTTTTTTAGAAACAAAAAAGAGTATAGTCTGTGGAACCGTCGGCAGCCTAAAAAAAAGTATAGATTGCCGACTGGTCGGCACTCTATACACTTCCTATAAATAGCACATTTTCAAACTTTCAAAACATTTTTGGTGATTGTTCATGTCAGTATGTTTGATACAACACCCTATTTTATTAATTCCCACTCCTATTTCTGACAAAATTAGAGCCAGAAGTAAAATACTAATAAATGATGAAAATGTACTTACTGCTAGAAAATAAAACAATGCAGAAAATACTAATAACTGTTTTCTTATTACTCACAACCATCAATATATTATCCATCTTTCAAACTCTTCATTTTCCTCTTATTTCTGTTTTTATCACCTCTTAATCTCTTCACAATTAGTGATTTATAATGTTTCAGTGGTTTTTCTTCAACAGGATCATCAGAAAATGCTAAGAAACCTGTTTCATCTACCTGCAGCTTTGTTACTTTCTTATCAATAGTACTGAGTTCTGGTTTGAAAGTCCTTGAATGTTGATTTTGTCTTTTTAAATGCACTAACTGTCTGATAGCATTTTCATCCACTGGAATTTTTGGCTCTTTTTGTTTGGTAATATTTGGTTGTGGATGTGCAGCAACATGATTATCAATAGATCTTTTATAATTTATGTGATTTACTGGAACTGAGCATGTTGTGAAAAGTGTGTGTACTAAATCCTTTATCAAATTCAGTTTGGATTCTGTGGGAATTTCCCTATGGATTGCTAGAGCTACACTCCCAATACCACACTGAGTTTTCAATAAACTTCGCAAATTATCCACTGCAAGTATTGGAATGTTTTTTAAAACAGCCATATCTACAAGATGCTGCACCATAATTCTTGGCAGTACATCACTTGTAATCAATACTGATGAAGCAGAATTATTTTCAAGTTGTTTTGTTACATTGTTCACACCTAAAGACAGGCCAGTGCTGAAAATATCAATATTAAAATACAAAACAATTGTATGAGAATACTAATACAATACCTTCCTTCTTTATCAATATGTTGACCAGTCATCTTTTTGGAATAATGTGCTCTGAATTCTTTTCTATCTGACTTAGGTATGTCTTTCAATTCATTCCAGGGTACATTGACTTTGACTTCCTTTATTTGAGGTAGGTTTGCCATCAACACTTTATGCAAAACCTTATTATCATGTTGTGATATTTCTGGCCTTAAAATATTGAGATAATTTCCCATAATAATTCAAAAATTTGTACATGTTGAAGAAAACCTCACCAGAAATTATTATTGAATGGTGTAGCTAGAACATTCTTTATAGTTTCTTTAGGCCTATTCTTCTTCGCTGAGAGACTTGCTTTCTGTTGCTTCTTATTCAAAACAGGAGTATCCATACTTTTACTATTCCATATCAAAATCCAAAAAATGGATAGGTCGCGTGCACGATGACCGACCCTGGAGGCAAAATATTGAAACACAACCTCACTCTTCTGTGAATTATTGAAACACAACCTCACTTTTTTATTTGTTTACAGAGGAATCGAAAGGTTGAAATAGTTTTTCACAATATTTTGGCATACGAATCGTGTTTCTTGCGTTGTTCATTAATTCAAGCATGCCTTCGCATTGTGCTGTTGTACAATGCACAAAAAATGCAGCAAGAGACTAGGGAATATGATTTTTCAGGTAAATAGTAATCTCACATAGTTATCATACTGAAATGTTGTCATTCCTTATTAAAATTCCTTCTGCCTTCTGCCACATCTGCAATACAAGCTAATACTGCTAATAGATTGAAAATGTCTACAACACACACGATCGTCAGCATGTCAGACCAGTCCTCCCGATTGATTGCATGAATCCAATCTTCTTGCATTATTCTAGACATTTCAGGTATATTTCTATCAGCTCCTATTGCAGAAAGAATTCCGATGAGAAATCAGAGAAATAACCAAATTTCAAAATTGAAAACTATATGTGAGTGACTATAGTAGATACTTAAAGTCCGTATGACACGGGCCAGTTTTTCATCCATTTTCTGAATGAGAATTTGTATTCGGAATTTACTGCACCGTGTATTACAGAAACAGAGAGTCTGACTGCAAAATTGGATGAAAAATAGAACATGTCCTATTTTTCATTCATATTATGTTGAAGCGCTTGCGCATAACGCCGTTATTCAACCTTCGAATTGTGTGTTTTGTTTTGAAGTGAGAAACAATTTCTTGGGTTTATGGTAATATCTTTTAGTTGGTTATAAATAATATATCAATAATAATATAAATTACAAATAATATACGTCCAGTCATTAATTTTACTCAAATTTAGATAACATCGGTTATATAATGGTTTGGTCTTCGGAGCATAATTATGTTATTGGTGCCCTAATTGGAGAATACCAAAAGAAACCCTGTTTGTTTGCAATCAAACACCCACAAACGCTCGAGTAGACTCTCTGACATACTTTATACTTTGGACAATGAGGAAATGTGGATTGAGTACCTACCACATTTCTGGTGAAATACAGTCTCGCATATTTGTATCTTCTTTAGTTTATTTTGTCCAGAACAAAAGTGAACTTATCATTATTCATTCTTATGAAATTTGTAGATACATATTTTATAAGATACAGAGCTTCCATAAAGGTGTTCATTTTCTTCATATTCAGAAGCATAGCACCCACTTTTGCAGAACTGCAGACAGATATTTTTCAAGAGAAACTATTACTCAATACCTTCCTTCAATTTTGAATATCTTCTTCCAAAAATATATTTTGAGGTTACTATACACGCACAACCAGCATGTGCATCTGCATAATTATTATATTATTTCATAACATGCGCATGCCCCTTGTCACAATATCTTGACTGTGATCTTATGTCGTGTCACACAGCACATAATTTTCCCATAGAAAATGATTCAGATTATTCTGATTGTTTTATTGTGTTCAATAATGATCCATTTTATGAGTGAAAAACTGGTCCGTGTCATACGGACTTAATTACTTTTAAATCATAATGTACCATCCGGATTCCTTCATCTTCCGCTGCAGTTTTTGTGCATTTTACAACAGCACAATGTGATGGCATGAGCAAATTGATGAATAGCGGAAAAATACCATTCATATGCCAAAATAATTGTGGAAAACTATTTCGATCACTTGTAAACAAATAAGAAAAGTGACGTTGTGTTTCAATGGTTTGCCTCCAGCGTCGGTCATCTGACAGTTCTTGCACGCAACCCATCCTCTACATTGTGTCACGACCTTTAGGGCCACTGGCATGATCAATGAAATAAATATCTAGACTGTGTTATAAACTTATAACCCGTCAGATTGTCTAGAGATTTAGCCGTCATTGGTTGAGGTTATGTTGAGATTTGAGATGTTGAAAATTTAAAAGGGATAATAAAAGAAAATGTTTTCTTTTTCTTATAGTATTTTGAAATTCTTCAATGGAATGTCAAAGACAGTCGTCAGGTATAAACATCCTTCTGATCACTGGGTAAGTTATTATCAAGATGTAGCTGAATTGAATACCAAAGTACTAGATGATATTTTTCTTACTGTGTCTGTTCCCGAGATGCTTCAGCATCCACAGGAATGAGCAAGCGAGGTGATAATTAGCTGTGTCCTGAAGTAATCTAAAAAAAAAATATTGTTGCAGTCTGTACTTCGAAAAAAAGTACATCCCATCCACAAAGCCCTAAATCATTTTGATGACTTCTACAATCAAGTTTTCAATAAAAAATGGTTTTCAATAAGAAAGGCATTACTGGGTCGTCAGAAGTATGTCGCAGTAGTAAACTATTATGGAGATAATGAATCCACTATGTCTAATCTGGAATTGAGAGGAGCTTTAAATATGCGCACTCTATTCAATTTGGAGAAAGGCTACATTAATGAGACAGCAAATGAAAAGAAAACAAAAAAGGTTCTAGATGAAGTCCTGAGGTTGGATAAAATTGATGAAAATATTGTGGAAAATATAAATTCAAATGATTCAAAAGAAATTGAATTGAATGCCAAACAGTTCTCATTAGCAGCTAGCTTGGACAATGCTGAGTTAGACACAAAAAGACTGGTAGATTCAAAAAACTTATTATCTACTGAGATTTTACATGAATTTATCCCAGCTACAAAAATCAAAGGGATGGAAGATTTCATACCAGAATCCAGTCATTATAAAATGTATGATCAAGACACAAACTTTGCAGTAAAGGTTGAAAAACAATATGATATTAGATTTCCAGATCATTTGAACATTTATTGTTATGAATCTGGTAACAATAGTGATTTTGATTCACCTAAGAAGGGAAAGACTGGTGTATACAACTATTATTTGATGGATGGTGGGTCTATTCTACCTGTGCTGGCTTTAGATATTCAGCCAGGGCATCGCATATTGGATATGTGTGCATCTCCAGGTGGCAAAAGTTTACTTGCAATACAGACATTATATCCAGAATGTGTTGTCTCAAATGATGTATCAAATTCTAGATTAAACAGAATCAAGAGTGTATATGAACAGTTCTTATATGATTTTGATGAGAAGTGGTTGGACACAGGAAAAGTAAGATTGTCTAATAGAGATGGTCGTTATATACTAGATGAAAGTTTTGATAGAATACTGGTAACTATACTCATTATTGGTGGAATAATTTTTTTTTCAAAATGACAATTTTTAGGTAGATGTTCCATGTACTACTGATAGACATTCTTTACATGAAAATGATAACAATATTTTCAAACCATCAAGAATCAAGGAGAGGTTGCAGTTACCAGAATTACAGAAGGAGCTGTTACTGCATGCTTTGAAATTGGTTAGAAAAGGTGGCATAGTTGTTTATTCAACATGTTCATTGAGTCCTATTCAGAATGATGGTGTGGTTCATATGGTGCTGAAACAGATTTGGGAAGAAACAAATATGGAAGTTTTAGTGAAGTATGTATTTCATCAAATTTTGTATTGCCATTCAACTTGATAATTTTTTATAGAGACATGTCTCCTGCCTTGCTGCAAACTAGAAGTGTGTACGAATTTGCAGTTAAAAATGTATTCAGATATGGACACTGTGTTTTACCATCAATTGAACAAAACTATGGTCCTACTTATTTTTGTAAACTTCAGAAAATAAATTGAAGATGAAGAAAACCTGTCTTTTGCTTTTCTCATCCACATTATTTATTTGAGGCATCTGTTATCTGGATAAAAAAATCATTTGAATTAAATTAGGCAATTTAAAACAATTGAACTTCAATCTATGTAGGTAGGTACCTATCAAAACTCTAATTTGAGGCAATCTTTTGAGAACTAACATGAGTAATAAGACAAAATCATATACATTTTCATAATTCTTTTTCATATCAACTTCATATGTATACCATACTTTTGAAGAGATGAAGCTAAAAATTCCTGACAGGGACAGTTTGAAGAAAGCAGAGCTTTAAGCTCCTATTGATTTATAGTGGATCCAAATACATGATTATCTCACAAGATATCAAACAGGGTATATCAATATTGTGGAAAAAAATGGGTAGGTTCCTTGCAGTAGAAATTTGTAATTTTTTAATCAGTACTTATATATCAAAACTACCAGTTTATGAAAAACTTTTTGTTCTCATTTTAAAGTAAGGAATCTACCCATGGACTCTCAACAGTATCAAAAAACCAAGTGTACTGGAGTTAGCTGGAATCTTTTTTAAAATACAACATGCAAGTGGAAATTCTCTGCCAAAAAGGAGATTGCCATGGCATTGAATTTGATATTCAGTTCATTATTTGAATTTTGTGCCTTTCAATTTCTCCATCTGATTATAATTTTCATAATTTCAACATCTCTGATTCATCAACATTGCCTTTTAAATAATTCTGTGAAATTGTAGGTCTTATGTTTTGAAATTTCCATAGTGAATAGGGAACTAGTCAATTGAAGAAAATTGCCAAGATTGAGATACTATGAAGATTAAAGACCAATTAGTATAGATGTCTACAACTTTTAACTGCATCACTCATTACCTAGCAACATTGGATAGATATACCTAGATACCAAAAGAGAAATCACCCATTACCTAACTTCATTGGATAGGTATACCTAGACACCAAAAGAGAAATGAATGAATATGTTGAGATTTACTTTATTTTATTGTAAAACAAATTACATTTCACTTCCTTGTTTGTTGTTGTTGTGGTCTATTGTCACGACCTGGGAAATTTCTCTGTGGTGGAGTTCTGATTCTTCTGTCCTCCTTGCTCCTGTTACGAACAACTTTACTGTGGATAGCACAGGATACACAATAGTGAAGCTTAGCATACAATTTTGGCAACACATATTCTAAAAAGGAAGAAAAGTAAATGATAACAGTCTCAAATATAACACTGAAGACATTGATTGAAAACACTGCCTTCCAGGCTCTTCACAACTGCTTGTTGAGATTCAAAGAAATTCACACTTTCCAAAGTACTCACGAGTATATACTGAAGCTTCAGTTATATCCCTTACAGCAGCAGCTTCAACAATGTTTCTGATCACAAACTTCTTGATAGCCTTGTCCTTTGGTACACATCTGGCACAGTTGGTACATCTTACTGGTTTAACGTGACCACGTCCATGCTTAGCACGTCCCCCATTACGTCTTTTACATGTCTTGGAATAAGAAAAAAAATTAGTTGAGGAGAATGCCATGTGTTGAAACTTATAGGTTAAGACATTGTTAACAGTGTACTAAATATTCCTCTAAATTCGGAATACGTTTCATTATTAAATAAACTCAGATGTTATATGAAAAACTAATCAATAATGAAAAGAAAGAGTGTACATAATATAATGAATAAAAATACTCACCATCTTTGCAGCTCTCCCTCACTAGCGAACGCACATAAAAAAAGAACAATTTTCTTAGGGTTATTTTTTAGTGAAACATTTGTTTGTAAAGGTGGTATTACTGATACAAAAGGAAGTGACGTACGTGAGAATTTCAGTTGTTTCGTGTCAGACCAATCAATTCGCAGATGTTAGTTCTCATTATTGTGATATTCAGAAGTGTCTACCTACACAACTTCCATCTTTAGCTCTCAGAATTTTGAAACGTATACAAAAAATCACATTTTACGTTCTTATTTCCGAACGAAAAACCGACTATTTCCGAAGGTGAGTACTTTTCGTCCGCAGACACTAATTTTTCGTCTGCAAACACTTTTCGTCCGCTGCAGATTTGCCAGTTCTACTGAACTTTCAGTAAATCTCCTGATTTGCATATTGAACTACTGAACCATTGAAACATTTCATAATGTAGGTACTGAAAAATATTTCGACACTTATTTTTCATTATATTATTATTATTCTTTAGTTCATCACAAATACTTATAATATGCCTGATATTTCGACATGCTCTATTTGAATTAATTTTACAAAACAAGTAATAAATGTACATAGGTACTAATGATATGTATACACCAAAGAAGGACAGTAATACTTCATCTGATTCAGATCAAATTCAATTTCTTATATACCTCTCTGTTATAACAGTTTGTTTCTGACGTTTAATTTTTTATTTGTTCACTATTTTTGTTTTTTATTTCCACTATTCGTTCCTGTTTTTCATAAACTCAAATCTTATTCAAGTACCTATGTATTTTGTGATATTTGTGAGTATTTTTTAATTGAGATTTAGGAATATGATTATTTTTGTATGAGAATGTTTGTTTTGTTTGTTTCTATTTCGATCTCGTGAGTTGCTGTTTTTTTGTGTGTGATAAGTGTGATGTTATTGATCATTCCAGAATTACGTCAGTTGACAGGTTGCTGAGGGGCAAACATTGAATTTTGTCAAGATTTGTCATATGAAACCAGAATTAGTGGGATCGTTTTCTTTGGAATCCGAGTTGGAACCAGAAAGAATTTCATAATTTTGTTTGGTGAAACTGTTATTATATTGTGGATGTGGCAGGGATAATAATAATAATAATAGTTAGTTTGTGTGCCCTTCAAGAAACCATGTCAAAATCACGTGTTCTAGAATGATCTATTAGCCAGGGTTGGTTAGTCTTGTCTCGACGTCTCGTCATCGCCTCTTCAAAGTATTCAAATTCGAACGACCGAATGGAAACGTAAAGCAAAAGTGCCAAGATCTGTCTATTTCTAGTATTGCTTAACCTCTGAACTGCTGAAGTTGATTGAGTTTTTATTTTACAAGCTTCTTCTATGGCAATTTCTGTTCATAGCATACTACATAAACAGGGATAGAAATAGAAAATTATCAAATTCATAGCAGGTTGAGCAAACGCAAACGAAGATATCTACTTCAAAAGTGCAAAATATAATACAAAAAACGTCAAAACAGCAGTATCAAGTACATTTAGGAACTCTAATGAAAGCCACCAAACTGCGGTCATTGGGTATTCGAACTAATAGTTGATACTATTATAATCGTTTCTAATATAGATTGTTAGGTGGGTGGTCTGTGGTTTTCACATATGACTTCCGATGATAGTAGTGTTAATTAAGTACACTATACAGATTGTGTTCTCACTGTGAACTTACATGAATTGAATGCAAATGGGATATGTTCTAAGTGGAAAGTGGAATCAGACTGGCTATATTCCGAATTCAACGGACAGTGACAATACTGAATCTGCTGATTTTTCAATCCGGAATAAGAAAATCGTTGAAAGTTATATATACTTGTTAGCAGACATACTATTTATTCCAAATATTTCGACTTATTCGACTCAATAACATTCTGCTGGAATTGCTGACTATCAAAAGGTACTTTTTGGCTTCAGTGATCTCAAGATCAGTCATTATTTTAGAGAGGTAAGGGATGTCTCATCAATAAAAAATCAATAATATTATACATGAAATTAGATGCATTACAACGGAGGCAGAACGCTTCAGTCGAGTTTATTCCTGTGTGAACCGCCTCGAAGCTTTGATACTTCCGAACATTGAAAAATTCCTGCCGAGAGTCTTGCTCACGACCACAAACGTCTAGCTAGACCAGCGAATCTTTTTATCCTCAAGGTTATATCAGAAGGTTATTCGTGTGTATAAGACTTAATAATAAAAATGAGATGTAATATGAGGAAGGAAAATATCTATCCTGCATGAAAAAGGAGAGTACTTTCAACCTAACTTGTCCCTAATCAACCTTTTCCCGGAAAAGTATATTGTTGAAAAATTTATTGAGTGAAAGTAACTAAAAAAAAAAGTTGACGCCTCGCAGGATTTAAATCCCATTCACCACCGTGAAAGTCAGATATACAGACCACTAAGCCATTAAGCTATTGCTTCAGTGTTCGTAGTAGTCATATAGTTTCTCAATATGAAGAAGGTAGAAATTGGTAGAAATGTCATGAGTTGTGGGTATGACGTCATTTAACCTCGATGTTTGAAAGATTCGCTGGTCTAGCTAGACGCTTGTCTCACGGTCGAACCTGAAGAAAAAACATCGTTGAAGTCCTGGAGGAATTATAATATGGTGTGCTTTGTTTTCGGTTTGTATTGGTCCTTTCTGGTTATTTGTTTTGATCTGGAACATAAATTCACGTTGATATGAGCGAAATCCTTGAAGAAGAACTTTTTGGGATTTGGGCTTCAATAATCCTGACTCAATGGCATATTTCGGTTAATGTACGTTTATATTCAAGGTGAACGTGAAAGTACGCAATAGTTATAAGCATTTCATACGTAAGATAACGTACACCCGTAGCCCACTATCAACGCAAACGTGAATAAACAAGGAATGCGAATGCGCAGCTGTCAATTTTCGTGTTCACGTTAACATTCATGATTGCTACGGTCACCGAGCGGTCAACGTGTTATATCCGTTCTACTGTGGTTATGCCACTTTTGATAATGAAATCCTTATATGATCTAAGATGAAAACATAATATTATCCATATCATTGTATCCATATATGCGAATGCGGAAGTCGCAAAGCAAAGTGGAATCCGTATCGCTAGCCGCTTCACGTCTTCTTCTTACAATTCTTCTTATACTCTTCACATGTCAGACTTAGAGTCCCTGTATATATCTTAGACAAGAGTCCGGACACAAAACTGACAGCCGTTGGGGTTTTTGATATTTCGTTTCATTTGGTTTGCCCACCTGACAATGTGACGAAACACCATAGTCGTCCCGCACGCTTTTTTTAATTATTTCGAATTTCTGTCACTGTCACTGACATTTTATGGCCGCCAAAATTTAGCATTTTAAATTATTTCGATGTCCTGCTGCGTACATTATTGCGATTATTCATTAGAAAAGGGATTCAAGTTATTCAATTTTCCGAATGATCCTTCAAAGATAATGTCATGGAAGAATGCAATGGAACGTCCAGAATGGACAATTAATTTCAAGAAATCCGCAATATGTGAGGTAAATATTCAAATTTACTTGAAAAAACAGTACAAAAAAGATGAATTTTAGGCCCATTTTGATAGAGATTCTTCCAAGCTGATGGATTTCAAATTGAAAGAGTCTGTGCCGTGCCGTCAATTTATAAAATAGAGACGTTCAAAAAAAAGTTCCGTCGTCATCGTATTGGGAATTACTGAATGATACGATCGCAGAGAAAGAAAATGAGAATGAGATGATGCGGAAAGAAATTGAAAGTCTGAAATCAAAACTAGAAGATTTAGAGAAATTGCAATGTGCTATGTCATCAGTCCACGGTGTTTTTAAATCAGATCAAATTCAAAATTTACAGGTGAATGTAGACTTCAGGAAAAAAATCAACCACTCTTATAAATTTCGGCAGAATACCTTGAAAATTTCTGGTCCCAGAGGTTTGAAGAATATTGGCAACACTTGTTTCATGAATAGCATAATACAATGTTTGTCAAACACTAAATGGATTTTGGAATTTCTTAGGGAAGAGGAATATATGGTCGAGTTGAATGATCCTGCATTGATAATGAAGGCATTTGTTGAAGTGATTAACGGACTATGGTTGGAAGATTCAACTGATACTGTGGTGAATATCCTTTCTTTGAAAAATCAGATCCAAAGATTTGCTCCACGTTTCATGGATTACGCTGAACAGGACGCCCAAGAATTTCTCAGATATCTTCTCGAAGGCCTCCATGAAGATGTGAAAAGGATAACAGAAAGGTCTGAGCTAATCTTCACAGAAATAGATGAGAAACTTAGTGATCATGAGAAAGCCCAAGAGTCATGGTCCAGATATTTGAGAATAGAATACTCGATTATTGTAGACAACTTTGTTGGTCAATTGAAATCAACTTTGAGTTGTTCTTATTGTGGACATTGCTCTGTAAGTTTTGAACCTTTCTGGGATCTATCATTACCGATTCCAAACACAACGGGCCAACTAAGACTTTCACAATGCTTAGACCTTTTCACGAGAGAGGAAATCTTGAGCGGTGACGAGTCACCAACATGTTCAAAATGTGAGGAAAGAAGGAATTTCACGAAGTCTTTGTTGATACATAAATTCCCTAATATTCTAGTGATTCATTTAAAACGTTTCTCGCCATCGCCATAGAAGATTTGGATATGGGTAATTATACAACAAATAATGAAATCCCTTGTAGATATAATCTTTATGCTGTATCTAATCACAGTGGAACAACTTTGTCTGGACACTACACAGCATATTGTAAACACCCAATCACAAACTTATGGCACGAGTACAATGACTCGATTGTTTCACAGAAATCATCTAAATCTATTGTGAATGGAGAAGCATACATCCTCTTCTACGAGCAGAAGGTTGCAAGGACGCGGAACGAAGATCAGAGAAGCAACAGTGCGATCGATAGCAACGATTCTGAAACAAGAAACAGAATAAGCTCAAATTTAGATGGAGCACTTCCAAGGAAAGTTCGAACGAAGATTCTTCCACCATCGAATCCATGTCAAAAAAAGTGATGATGAAGAAAAAAGCGACTTACGCTAATGTTTTATCAAAACATTGGTCATTTTATTGATTTATTCATTTTTAAAAAGAATATTATTATAACTAGTTTAACTTGTAAAAAAAAACCAATATACCTATTCAGGAAAAATTTTCATTAAAATTATATTGAGAATTATATATCTTCTATTTTTTCATATCCCATCAGAAAACAACTATATTGTCTTGGCTATATGTGATACCACGTAGAACACTTAAATTATCTTTCTTATATCTGATGAAGTGAAGAAATATCTGATGACGAAACTTTGCGATAGCCATCTCAGGAATTGATTATGAAAATTATCGATTCGAAATTTGAACACCCCATTGTTCATTATCTGAAAATCTAATAGTTATTCTAGTCAAAATAGCCCTATTGCTCACTTCAACCTACGCGGCTATGAACGGTTTGACAAATAATCTAACCCTCAAAATTGTTTCTGACAATCATTGATCCTAGGGGAATTGAAAAGACAGAGCTCGATATATATGTCTTATTCCTTTATTCAATCATCAATGCATTTTTTGAAAACAGAGAAGGACAGAAGTATAGCTGTGTCCGGACTCTTGTCTAAGGCAAACAGACTCTAGTCAGACTCTTCCGTTTTGAAGACTAGGACAAAGAATATATCCCCTCTCCTCTTTGACTAGGACTAGTTGTTGTCAAAGTTGTTGTTACGTTTTTTGAGGTTAGGACGAAATATTCTGTAAAATTTCGAATTCAAATTGTGGTGTTTTTCTGATTTATATAATTTTATCTGTTCTATTATAATTCAATTCAGGATGATGTGATGTTCAAGTTCAACCCACTGTGTATTCAGTCTTATTTATTCGTAGACGAGAATTTTATGTGATGAATGTGTAACTGAAATATAAACCAGTAAACAATACCATTTGGTTTTTATATACATGTGTAGGAAGCTAGTTCAAATATGAATAAAACGAAGGATATACATACAAAAAAATCACTTGTGAGAAATTCTGAAAAATCTTTACCAAGATATGAAGTTGACCCTCATCCAGTTGTTTCCAAAGATATTGGAGGAATTACTATAAAATCCTCTGAAACTACAAAAAATTCTAAAAACAAATTTGACTCACCCGAATTATATTCTAGTTTGAAATTATCCCAACAGATTGACAAACTTGTGAAACCAAGAAAAACAAAGAGTTGTTCAGATGTAGTTGATAAAAAGTATGCTGTTGATGAGAAGGTATGGCTATATTTATATATCTTTTATGACTTCCTCTTTAATAAAAATTTTTTCAGCAGGTTTTCTTGACTGAAAATATAAACATACTTGATTCTTATTTCAGATATCTAGGAGAGTTAATTTTCCATACAGTCAACCAATTTACAAAGATTTGATACCACTAACATGCAGCCAAATTCCACATCAACCAGTAGTTGCTTCAAGGGAACCATTTCTACAAAAAGACAAGGAGCCTCTATTATCAGATTTTGTTATTCCTAAGAGCATACCTAATCATTATAGTTTGCCTAGTGTTAAAGTAGAAATTAAATCAACATTGATTGGTAATAATAATCTAAGACTATACAATCATTTAGGAATAGATTGATGGAAACTATTTATCATGAAAGAATGTGTAACAGCTCCAATAATATAACTAATAAAATTTTCAATTTGATAACTGAGCCTTGTTAAGGAAATATAGATAAAATTATTTCAATTGAACAAAACATGCAAATTTCTTTATTGAACCATTAGATACATTTTAAATCTTATTGAAAGCAGCAATATCTACAGACTGTACAAAATCTTCAAACTCTTGAATCTTCTCAACTAGTTCATCAACTGAAACTTTGGCATCTTCAATAACACACATAATCTGCAGTTTTTGTATACCATAACCAACTGGCATGAGCTTTGAGGCACCCCAAATCAAGCCATCCATTTCAATTGTTCTTGTGGCTTTTTCTAATTCTTTCATATCTGTTTCATCATCCCAAGGTTTGACATCAAGTAATATACTAGATTTGGCAATGAGTTCAGGCTTCTTCGATTTCTTTGCTGCATATGCCTTCAGTCTCTCATCACGAACTCTGGCTGCTTCAGCATCTTCTTCTTCATCAGAGCCAAAAAGATCAATATCATCATCATCCTCAGCTGGTTTAGCAGGTGCTGTTGTAGTTGGAGCAGTTATTAATGGGCTAGCAGATGCAGATACTCCAAATTGTTTGAGTTCTGCAGGAGAAAAGGATCTGATGTGATTGTACCACCTCAAGGCATGTGGTAGATTAGCACCAGGTGCTTTAGCCAGCTGACTCAATGTGGTAACATCAGCTTGACTAATAGAGAATCTGAAAATTTCATTAAGACCTCAGTTAATATGACATTGCCTGAAGAATTGACCTACATTAAAATGCATTTCCCAATAGGTAGGTAATAGATTCAACTTTGCAGACCAGAATATTTAGTAGTCTAGTAGGTACACAAGAATGTTCTCTATACCATTCTGATCATAACTATAAAGACAATTCAGCCCTATTACCATTATATTAAAGAATTCCATTCAAGAGAAGGCCAGTGCTAGCTTGGAACTTACCCGTTGATGTAACTCCTGGTTTCCAAAAAACTGTTGAGTTCTTTTACACCCTTTTCGGTTTTGAGGTCCGCGAAAGACATTTTTTGTTGTAATATTTTATAAAATATGCTAACCAACAGCTACCGTTACCACTCGTGGCGATTCAAGAAAAGAGGGAGACGTTGGGTTGGACTTAGGTTGGACGTTGGACTGTTCTGTTGGAGCCGATGGAGGAGGGAGGAGGACAAGGAGAACTGACAGAAATTGACATATGTCAATGCACTGTGACGTGACAGCTTCGTAACGGCAATCAGGACTCACAATAGTAGCACAAGATGTTTGATGGCTGCCGCTTCAGCATAATATTCCAAACTACATTGATGAGTCTGAAATTATAAAAATATTGATACTTATTTTGTCCCCAGTTTCAATGTCCTGTACCATTCTGGAATGAATTTAATGACTTTCGACTATGGAAAAATTTTCAGAGGAACCAAAGTCAAATTCTTGGTAATTTTTATACTGAAACTAATAGTTCTAGTGAACTAGAAACTAATAAGCTGATTGAGAAGTTTGTATGAGTACAAACTTGTTAAATATCATTCTATTCTATACCTATCTTAAACAAACTTGGAACGGAACCCTCCTTCCAAAACCGTTTCCAATTCTTCATTGGCAAGAAACAGTTCCCTTAGAATGTTGGAAACATACAGTTTCATGTCATAAACCCATTGATGCCTCAGGATTTGAGGCTTAAATTCACAACAGTGGGGATTGGGAAAGCCATGTCTTGATAGTTTCACACCTCCACCTCCACCTCCTGGAGTACGAAGTTTTCAGATGACATTGCAAAATAACACAATCGCACTCACAAACCAATCAACAAAGTTTAATAGAAAACCAATACTATAGAAGAAATAATTAGGTATCATTGTAATTTTCAAGGATACGAATTCAAAGTTCAAAATATCCACAAAGACGAACTGATAAGTTAATGACAACTCTCAGAAAATAATTTTGTGATTACGACATCTCAATCTCATGAAATAATCTTCTTCATCGCCTTCGTATCAAATTTCGCGTCAATGATGGAAAGCACGTCTATGGTTGAGTTCATATTGGAGAAAAATAGAAGGAGAGAATATCAACCTAATATGGTCTATTTTGACATGAACAAATGAGCTCTTTCCAATTTCTCGTCCTCAGCGCCACTTGACAGACAGACATATTCTGATTGAATGAACAGACAAATGGAAAAATTAATGTTATTAGCGGTAGGGTATTGGCGGCACTTAGGGTCCTTTGATGGAAATTGACGTTTAAGTCATCTTAACAGGGTACGGACAGATAGGTCGCGTGCACGATGACCGACCCTGGAGGCAAAATATTGAAACACAACCTCATTCTTCTGTAAATTATTGAAACACAACCTCACCACACCTCACTTTTTTATTTGGTTACAGAGGAATCAAAGGATTGAAATAGTTTTTCACAATATTTTGGCATACGAATCGTTTTTTTTTTGCGCTATTCATTAATTCAAGCATGCCTTCGCATTGTGCTGTTGTACAATGCACAAAAAATGCAGCAAGAGACTAAGGAATATGATTTTTCAGGTAAATAGTAATCTCACATAGTTATCATTATGAAATGTTGTCATTCCTTATTAAAATTCCTTCTGCCTTCTGCCACTCCTGCAATACAAGCTAATACTGCTAATAGATTGAAAATGTCTACAACACACACGATCGTCAGCATGTCAGACCAGTCCTCCCGATTGATTGCATGAATCCAATCTTCTTGCATTATTTTAGAAATTTCAGGTGTATTTCTATTAGCTCCTATCGCAGAAGGAATTCCGATGAGAAATCAGAGAAATTACCAAATTCCAAAAATGAAAACTATAGGTGAGTGACTATAGTAGGTACTTACTTTTAAATCATAATGTACCATCCGGATTCCTTCATCTTCCGCTGCAGTTTTTGTGCATTTTACAACAGCACAATGTGATGGCATGAGCGAATTGATGAATAGCGGAAAAATACGATTCATATGCCAAAATATTTGTGAAAAACTATTTCGATCACTTGTAAACAAATAAGAAAAGTGACATTGTGTTTCAATGTTTTGCCTCCAGTGTCGGTCATCTGACAGTTCTTGCACGCAACCCATACCTTAGGATCATAGCTGCATTATTTTTTAATGATCTAGAGACTTTAGTTTTGTCTACTGGCATCCCTGACATTGCTGTCACGTCACGTCCATGGGCGCTACAGAAAATCATTCAAAATTTTAATAATAGGTATGTACAGGGTATCTACTTGTAGAGGAAGATCATGCATATAAGGAGATCGAGTTTTGCAATTATGATCCAATTCTATTCAAAATTGGTATCTGGGGGTTTTCGGGGTAGGAGATAATGATTGTTTCGTGAAAATTGTAAAATTCAGGATGACGGATCGAATATGGCGAAAGACATTTCTAATTATGATCTGATTCTATCAATGTATGTACGCTGATTCTATTAAAGTTTGGTATCTGGGAGTTTTCGGGGTCAAACTTTATGATTTTTTGTCAAAATTAATCATTCCAGAATTACGTCATTTGACAGGTTGCTGAGGGGCAAACATTGTATTTTGGCAAGATTTGTCAAATGAAACCAGAATAAGTGGGATCGTTTTCCTTGGAATCCGAGTTTTGGAACCAGAAAGAATTTCATAATTTTGTTTGGTGAAACTGTTATTATATTGTGGATGTGGCAGGGATGGCCAGGGCTATGCTCATCGAAGGTAACCAAACAGATAGTTTGTGTGCCCCTCAAGAAACCATGTCAAAATCACGTGTTCTAGAATGATCAATTGGGATATTCAAGATGGCGGATCACGCGTTCGTAGATACTTAGTCGAATTAAGAAGAAGTAGAACATACATAGTAGTTTAAAAAACTGAAGAGATAGATTGCCAAGCTGAAAACGAGTATAAAATGAATAGTATCTTGAAAAACTAAAGAAACACGCTTTTATGAAATGAAATAAATTAAGTATACTGGTAAATATTCAAGTAAAAGAATATTTTCTAGAAATATTGTGCATAGCAAAACAACGTTTGCCAAGTCAGCTAGTTATCTATAGTAATGATATTTTATGCACTACCGGGCTGTAAAGTGCACTTTACCGCCCGGTTTTGCGGGCGTTAAGTCGCACTTTACCGCCCGCGGGTTCATTATGGCCCACGGGCCGTAAAGTGCACTTTACCGCCCGCTGTTCTCAATTACCTTATATCCACATATCAATTAATGAAAAACCTATGATCATTTTCCTAGATTCTAATATATCCAGCGGTATGTCATAAACTCCTTCTTTATCCGATTCCATATCTATCGCTATTATTGTTATCACTAATTTTTACATTTCAGTCAAAGAATGACAATTCAGCTCGTTTATTGGATGTATTGCTATAGACAACAACCATCAGCTTGATTGACAACGTCAAAATTAGTTAGGTATATATACTGGGTATGCATATTGTGAAATTCTGAAGAATGAATCTCTTCTAGAGATCAAAGAGTTTTACTATTACGTTAATTGCAATATTCGTACGATAATTTTCATATGTAAATCATCCATGAACATTACGCTTCTTTTGATCACTGAATTTAGACATAACAAATTAAATTCGGGGGAATATAAGTTTATCGAAATCTATATAGTCATTACTTTTGAGTCAGAAAATAAACCACTAGTGCATAAAATTTTGTATGTATCACGTGCGTGAAATGCGTTTATGGCCTTCAGCGTGTAATGGCCCTCGGCTAGCGCCATCGGGCCATTATTCACGCCACAGGCCATAAACGCCTACTTTACGCCCTTGATACATAAATAACTATTATTTCATACTGCATCATAGAACATACCTTTACGTACCTGATTTCAATCCGGAAAATAGACTTTTACAGGATAGGCGCACGTAATATTTCATTACGTGCTACTATCCCGTAATGAAATTTTACCGGATTGTGAATATTGAAAACTCAGTTATGCGTCAAAAGCATGAATACATTTATTTAAAATTCAACAGCAAAACAATACACAGAAATTACTTATTGTTAATAAACCGTTAAATTTTCGTTCCCATGAATATGGATACCATTGGATGAATTATTTATTAGGGAGTTGCTACTTGCTGATACATTCCCATTTTTTGTGGTAGCACTTCAACAAAGTTTTCTCCATGTTGAATCATGCGAGATACCCTGTTTTTCCCCTCGATCGAATCCTCGATATATTTTTTCGCCACCGAAGAGCTCTTCCATCCCCCGTGTCTCTTAAGTACCAGAAGATCGGCTCCAGCATCACCCAGTATTGTGGCAGATGTTCTTCTAAAGCAATGCCCCGTGAACTTATCTGCTTCAGGCAGCCCCAGAAATGTCGCTATTTTTTTGGGAGCAATAGAATGCATGCCTACCCTTTGGAAAATGCACCTGCCTTTACGATATGCAATGAAAAGGTCCTTTAGGCCTACATTCTTCGGTCGTAATTTTAAATATGTCTTATACTTTTTTATATAATCCTGATTAATCACGGTGAATACTCTTCTTTGGTTTGTTTTGGTTTTGGGAATAGTTACGACTAGATGTGTTCCAGTATCCTCTATATCCTTCACTTTCATTGCGTAAAGCTCCTCCCGACGGCATCCACCCGTGATTCCAAACATAGCTATATGACCTAAAAAATCATCGATTTGAATATTCACGGCTCAACTTTTTTTTTCTATGAATGACCTCACCTTGATCAAAAGATATTCCTTATCAGGTGCTTGCGTCATGAACCGGTTCAGTTCTTCCGATGTCAAAATTTTCTACTTGATTGGCTGATGTCCAACTGCTTGTTTCTTTAAAAAAGCTTTCAATTTAGGAAATGTGAATATATCCAAATTTTCGTGGACTAGCAGCATCGACTTAACCATTGAATACTTTGACCAGAGTGGCGAGCTTTTGAATTTGTTTGACTATAAAAATGTAAATAAGTACTATAATAAACAAAACTTGAACTATATTTTTTATTATAAAACTCAAACTGCCTTAAAAGTTAGATGAAAACTCACCAAGTCCAAAAAATAAGCCATCATTACATCTTCATTCACAAAATTCACGTTGCTGTCCATTTTCCATTGAC